AAATGCAAAGTGTAAGGCTAGTATTTGGATTGCTCTGTGCCTAAAGTTTCAAGAACTGATATGTTGTCTGAAGATTTAGTTGACTGGACTGCTAATTCCCATTTCTAGAAAACTGCTGATGAAAAGGATCAGAGATGGGGGCAAAGAATCGTGCAAGAATGTTCACCACAGCATCAGTTATAACGGCAAAAACGCTTAAGCCACCCAAGGTGCCTCTACGAGGGAGGTGGGTAAACGATGCCTACTGAGAGAATGTTATACAGCCATTACAAATCTTCTTTGCAAAGAATATTCACGAATATGAGAAAAGTAAAATACGTTAAGAGAAAGAAGACTAAAACTAAAACAACAGGGAAGGATCCCACTTTTGGGATCATATACATAGAAAGGCTGGGACGTCGCTGGATGATGACAGGTGACTTTCCTTTTCTTCTTCGTACTTTCTCTAATTTTCCATAATGAATGCACAGGTTCATTTACAATCGGGGGAAAGCTTCCATTAAATAATACTCATTTTTTAAAAACTAGGTAAGATTTTAAAAATAGAATCCAGGCATGGTAATGCAATGGTTAAACAGAATAGAAAACCCTCTAATTCCCAAATGAAGAATTCCCAAAGGAAGTCATTTTCTGATTATCTAAGAAATGCATTCCATTCTGCAAAGTCCCAACTGAGGCTTCTAGATGGCAATTTATGTGAAGCAAGAATGTCGTCATTACAGAATAATCTGCTGTAGTGTGTCTTAATAGCTCTCCTCTCTGTCTGTAAGAAATGGCACCAAGCTAGAGGAGGACTGAGGAAGCTTCCAGGCATCTCTTAGATCCTGGGTGTCATTTCATTAGCTTAATTTTTTTAAAGACATGGAGTCAGACAGTGATCTTTTTCAAAGCCTGCACTGAAAGCATTTCTGCATCAAAAGCATTTCCACAAAAGGATGTGGTTATAAAACCATTTCTGTCATTAAGAACAAACCTGAATGCTACACCTCCTTCAAAGTACCCATTTCATCTGGGATTTAGAACAAGATCTTTCTACGCCACTGAGAGCGAGCTTATTGTAGTGGTAAGCACACTCATTTAAACAGCAGGCATCACCAGTCGTGGTATGGCACACCTGTAATTCCAGCTACTTGGGAGGCTGAGGCGGGACGACTGCTTGAACTCAGGAGTTCAAGTACAGCCTGGGCAACACAGCAAGACCCTGTCTTTATTTTATATTATTTTATTTTACTTTAAACAGCAGGTATCTCTTTGAGATCCTGATTTCAATTATTTTAGATATAGATCTGTAAGTGGGACTGCTGGATCATATGGCAGTTCTATTTTTAATTTGAGGAACCACTATATAGTTTTCCATCATAGCTATGCCATTTAACATTTCCCACAACGGTGTACAAGGGTTCTAATTTCTCCACACCCTAACCAACATTTATTTTATTTTATCTTTTGGAGACGGAGTTTCGCTCTTGTTGACCAGGATGGAGTACAATGGTACGATCTCAGCTCACTGCAACCTCTGCCTCCCGGGTTCAAGAGCTTCCCCTGCCTCAGCCTCCCAAGTAGCTGGGATGACAGGCGCCCACCACCATGCCTGGCTAATTTGTATTTTAGTAGAGATGGGGTTTCTCCATGTTGGTCAGGCTGGTCTCAACTCTGACCTCAGGTGACACCCCGCCTCAGCCTCCCAAAGTGCTGGAATTACAGGCGTGAGCCACTACACCAGGCCACCAACATTAAAAAAAAAAAAAAAAAAAAAAAAAAAATAGCCATCCTGGCCCAGTGTGTGGCTCATGCCTATAACTAACCACTTTGGGAGTTGACGGTGGTGGATCACTGAGGTCATGAGTCCGAGACCAAGGCTGGCCAACATGGTGAAACCCCTGGTCTCTACTAAAAATACAACAAATTAGCCGGGCATGGTGGTGGGCGCCTGTCATCCCAGCTACTAGGAGGCTAGGTACGAAATAGCTTGGAACCAAAGGAAGGAGAGTTGCAGTGAGCCAAGATCGCACACTGCACTCCAGCCCTGGGTGACAGAGCAAAACTCCGTCTCAAAATAAAATAAAATAGCCAATCCCTGCAAGGCTGTGAGGTTACCATCGTGCTTTTTGAATTTGCATTTCCCCTAAATGCTGATGTTGAGCCCTTTTTCATATACCCACTTGGCCATTATGCATGTCCTTCCTTTGGAGAATGTCCTCTTATCAAGTCCTTTGTCAATGTTAAAAAAAATTTTTTTTTTTTTCTGCCATTGAGTTGGAAGGTTTCTTATACCATTTTGGATACTAGTCCGTTTATCAGAATATATGGGTTTTGCCAGATACTCTCCTTCCCCTCTGTACGGTGCTTTCATTCTCTTGATTATTTCCCCCTTACTGTGCAAGAAGCTTTTAGTCTGAAATATTGTCCGACTGTTTGCCGTTTGTTGTCCTGTGCTTTTGGTGTCACATGCAAAAGATCATGCCTTTTTCCCGTTGGGTTTTTTTTCTGGAATTTTACAGTTCAGGTCCTGTGTTAAGTCTTTAAGCCATGGAGATGGCCCAAAAGAACCCAAAGTCAGGAATCCCAAAGAGATATCTGCACCCCCATGTCACTGAAGCATTATTCATAATGGCCCATGATATGGAAACAACTCCTGTGTGCTACTGAACAGAAAATGGATCAAGGAAAGGGAGTTACATTCGCCTGGTCCAGTTTCACCTGTATCCCAGCCAATTTAGAGGCAAAGGCCATGTCCAGGCCGGCCACCAAAGGTCAAAAACCACCTGTCCTCTACTAAAAATACAAAAATTAGCCGCATGTGGTGGCAGGCCGCCCTGTAATCCCAGCTAACTATAGGAAGAACTGGAGGCACGAGGAATCCACTTGAACCAGGGAGGTGGCAGGTTGCAGGGCCAAGATGGTGGCCACTGCAACCTCCCAGCCCTGGGCGACAGAAAGCCCGAGAACATCTGCCTCCAAGAAAAAAAAAAGTGTAGTATATTCGTATCACGAAACATTATTCCGCCTTAAAAAAGAAGGAAACTTGCCATTTGTGACAGCAGGAGTAAACTGAGAAGACATGCTGAGTGAAATAAGCCCCTTACAGAAGGATGAATACTGCATGATTCCGCTTGTATCAGATATCTAAAGGTGCTAAAGTCATATAAGCAGAGAAAAGAACGGTGGTTGCCAGGGACGGGTTGGTGGAGGAGGGAGATGGAAAGTTGTTCAATGGGTATAAAGTTTCAGTTAGGTAAGATGTGTAAGTTCTACAGATCTGCTGGACAAACAGAAGTGCCTATAGGTAACAAGACTGTATTGTACACTTAGAAACTTGTTAAGAGGGAATATCTCATGAGAAGTGGTCTTATAACAATAGCAACAAAAAATCCCAAACGGCCCCCAAAACCAAAGGGGCACAATGATTAAACTCATGAACCTGTGTGCGTTAAACATGTGCAGCTTTTGCTGATCAATGATACCTCAATGAAGCTATTTAAAACATACAGAGAAGAGGTAGATTTCTTCTGGTGCTACCAGCTCTGTCATTAGCTGTGTGACCTTGGGCAAGTCCCTTACCCTTTACGGGTTCCAGTTTTATCCTTCTGACAAGAAGAAACAAGCCTCTGCTATCCCCGAGTACCCCTCCTGCTGGAAGACTGCGGCGTGGGGGCCCTGCTGAAAAGCAAACCTTTCATGGGTAGATCTTAGCAATGCAGCAAGGATTTTGGAGTGGACCAGAGATCAGAGGGATGAGAAACGCTGAATATGCAGCAGTTATGATGCACCTGCTGGGTGCAGGATGGCGAGAAAGCCTGACAGGGGCCTGCTGATGGTAAGGTAACCAACACCCCCAAGCTGCATGTGGGAGGGAGGCAGAGGGGCCCAGAGGATGAGAGGAACTGAAAAGGTGATGGGGCTGGGCGCGACCTGTCATCCCAGAACTGAGAGGTCGAGGTGGGTGGATCGCTGAGGCAGGTGGATTCCTTGAGGCAAGGAGTCAAGACCAGCCTAGCCAACGTGATGAAACCCTGTCTCTACTAAAAATCACACCTGTCATCCCAGAACTTTGAGAGGCCGAGGTGGGTGGATCACTTGAGCCCAGAAGTTTGAGACCAGCCTGGCCAATGTGGTGAAACCCCATCTCTACTAAAAATACAAAAATTAGCCGGGCATGGTGGTGCATGCCCATAATATCAGCTACTCAGGAGGCTGAGGCACAAGGATTGCTTGAACCTGGGAGGCAGAGGTTGCGGTGAGCCAAGATTGCACCACTGCACTTCAGGCTGGGCAACAGAGCGAGACTTGGTCTCAAAAAAATAAAAATAAAAATAAAGAGAAAAAGGAAGAAAAGGAGCTGGCCCAAAGCTGGGTGGAGGACGCCTGGGGACAATTCTTCTGTGTATTCCTCCTGCTGGCCCTGGCCTGTAACACAGGCTCTGCTCTCAGTTCTCAGTTTAGATTTGGTCCTGGACTTGAGATTTCTGACATCCCTTCGGGGTAGCTCCAAGTACCCACCATGTGTGATGCCTGGGACTCACTTGGCCTCTTCACCGTCGCTGGTGCCCTTTCCTGAGTTTCAGGCTCATGAGATCATTCCCTGTCCTCCCATCAAACATGACCCCTCGTGTTCAACTTAGAATGAATGCCTCAGGGGGACAAATACAGTGGAAAGATAAGATTGAAACAGGCAGAGCTTTGAAACGCACAGGGCTTGACAGTGGCACTGGGGACTGGCGTTCTGGAAGGCACATGGGGTGGCCAACGTTTAATTCCAAAGCCAAACAGAAAAGGATCAACTAACACACAGTGTGATCCTCGCCTCTACAGAGGTGTCGCGGGTCTGAGCTCAGAGGGGAAGGAGGCTCAATCACGCCCCTCTCCAGGACAGAAGCCACTGCTCAGTTTGAGCAGGGCCTGTGGGTAAAGTGTAGATACAGGAAAAACAGCCCCGTTGTCAATTTTCCCCCTCAAGCTCAAACGCAACAATGAAGCTGCACAAACACTTCTCTACTTACTGGCATGGTTTTGTCTCCAAAGAAATAAATGGTCTTATAACCGTCATTTTCCACATGTCGCAGGCAATACCTCTTGTCCCATCCATCAGGAAAGACATCAAAGCTGATCTGGCCTCCTGCCGGGTGGGGATGGGGCACATACAAGCAAAAGGTGAAAAAGGGGCTAATGATATGTCACTGAAAAAAAACAATTTACTCTTTGTCAGTTAGTGGGGTGCCAAGGTTGATTTTCAGTACTCTAGTTTGCTACTTAGACTATTGCATGGATAGGTTCTAGAAATTAATTCTACATCATGTTTTCTGTTCCAGCATTATTTCACGTAGGTCTAAAATTGAGGCACAGAATGCCAACTCAGAGTGAGAAATGCATTTGCATTTAAGCGCCCTGTCAAGCATGTGGTTTAAAGGAAGCATGCTTATGAAAACTCATTCTGCTGTGCTCGTCTTGGGCTTTAACACACCCTCAGTGGAAAATGCCTGGAAGCAGGCTGCATCCAGCATATTTGCAGGAAAAATGAGAATCCTCACTGAAGGTGATTTATAGGCAGCGCTCGTGGGCAACAAGAAACCTTTCAAAGCTTTGTCAGAAAGATGTCCATCTCACAGTTCAGGAATACAAAAAACCCACCCACTCATCTGTTAAATATAATCCCTTTGCCATTCCGGTTTTCCTACAACCTCTACCTTTATGAAAGCTAGTACAATGAGGAGGCTTTGAGCAATGACTCATTAGCCCTGACAAGAGAAATCGGTGTGCAAAGCATTTGACAGGCATACTCTAACAAAAGACAAGCCTGAGACATCCATGCTGCAGGAAGAACTCTGTATTGGACACCAGAAGTGTTCACACACTGGCTGTGTAAACAACAGCTTTGTGAACTCGGACAAGTCTCTTCTCCTTTTTGGGCCTCAGTTTCTTAATCTGTAAAAGCCACCCAATTGGCTCCTAAGGTTCCTGCTGTTGAAACATTGTATGATTCCAAGACGTCGGTCTTGTTTACCTAAGGGGTTCAATTCCATGTCTCCCTTACGGAGTTCACTATAGTGCTTCTCTTCCGCCCAAAGGTGTGAGAAGTTCCTACTCATTAGTAATCGAAGTGCTCCTCTTCTGACGAGAGAAGTGCAGGTAGGAAGAATCCTGTTGGGTAAGAATTTAGAAGCAAGCCCAACAGTCTGGAAGCTGTTTCTTGACTAGGCAAGTCCTATTATGGCTAAGTATGCAGAAAAGAGAGTGGCCGCTTTTTGTCTACAGACTGGACTGCTCATTTAATCTTCCTGCCCACCTAAAACTGCACATACTCCATTATCAATAGCTCACTGGCCCACAACAAATTCCAGGAAATGGGGATCCAAGTTTGTAACACAAACAATATATACAATACCTATGGAAAACGTGAGGCCTTTTCCTGCAAACTCTTTCCGTAGATCAGCTACAAACTTTTGTCTTATATTTTCCTTCTGAGAAAAAAAAAAAAAGATGCCAATTGTCTCTTGCATTGCAGTTTAGAAAGCACACTTTTAACTACTAGCCACCAAGGTATGAATATCTTATTTATTTATTTGTTTAGTTTTTGAGATGGGGGTCTCACTCTGTTGCCCAGGCTGGAGTGCAGTGGCATGATCACAGCTCACAGCAGCTTCAACCTCCCAGGCTCGAGTGATCCTCTCACCTCAGCCAAACAAATAGCCGGGACCACAGGTGTGTGCCACCATGCCCGGCTAATTTTTTTTTTATTATTTGTAGAGATGAGGTCTCACTATGTTGCCCAGGCTGGTCTTGAACTACTGGGCTCAAGTGATCCTCCTGCCTTGGCCTCCCAAAGTGTTAGGATTACAGGCATGAACCACCACATGGGGCCATATCTTATTTCCATAAACCCAGCCATTCACCAAAGATATTTCAGAAAGACTTACTTTATCGAGTTCATAGAACTCAATGCGTTCTTCTTGGCTGCAGCTTCTTCCAATTGGCGACACGTTTAACATCCCATTCCGGAATTCAATGAAAGTACCCCTGGGAATGAAAGAGTGACAGAGGTTCCCCAAAACACATTATTTATTTGGGAAACATCATAAACAGCCTAAAATCTTGGGAAATTCTAAAAAGCAGAGGCCAGTGTGGTCAATGTTTCTCAGCTCTGTACTGTGTAATACGGTAGCCATGAACTACTGTAACTACTGAGACCTGAAATGTGGCTAATATGAATTGAGATTAGATTTGAAAGACTTAGTATGAAAAAGGAATGGAGTCACATCAGTCATGTTGTATACTGACTTTGTGTCAAAATGCTCATATTTTGAGCCTGGATGACACGGCGAAACTCTGTCTCTATAAAAAATACAAAAATCAGCCAGGAATCGTGATGCGTGCCTATAATCCCGCTACTCAGGAGGCTGAGGCAGGAGGATTCCATGAGCCTGGGAGGTAGGGGTTGTAGTGAGCTGAGATCACGTCACTGCACTCCAGCCTGGGTGACAGAGAGAGACCTTGTCTCAAAAAAAAAAAAAAAAGGGTCATATTTTAGATATATCAGGCATCTCACCTTTTCCTTTTCATTCTTTCAAAATGTGGCTACAGAAAATTTAAAATTATACATAGCTCACTTTCTGTTTCTGCTGCACAGTGCTGCTATAGGGCAGATAATTTTATGGTTAATACAGAGCTATGAAAATGATTTCCAGCACTGGCAACAGCAGTTGTTTCCCTGAGGAGTCTGAAAATACATGTACCAGACATCTATCTTGCTACTGAGCTTCGGAACAGACTGATAGTACCAAGCAAAGCTACACAAAAAAAGGCTCTGAGAATTGTCCAACGAGCCTCAGTAATAACTGAGGAAATTCAATTTACCCATTAGCAGACAGCTCCTAAATGTTTGATTTGATCACATAAAATGAGAAACTAACATTAGTTTAGTCACTTCAAATGAAGATGTTTAACAATGTTCTTTTGGCTGGGTGCAGTAGCTCATGCCTATAACCCCAGTACTTTGGGAGGCCAAGGTGGGTGGATGGCTTGAGCTCAGGAGTTTCAGACCAGCCTGGGCAACATGGCGAAACTCCGTTTCTACAAAAAATACAAAAATTAGCTGGGCATGGTGGCGCACCCCTGTATTCCCAGCTACTTGAGAGACTGAGGTAGGAGGATTGCTTGAGCCTGGGCAGTGGAGGTTGCAGTGAGCCAAGATTGCACCATTGCGCTACAGCCTGGGCAACAGAGGGAGACCCCGTCTCAAAAAACAAACACACACATACAAAATAAAAAACAAAAAACAAAAAGATGATTTTTTCCACTGTTTCCACTATAAGTCTGAAAACAGTTTCTTTGGCTCACGCCTGTAATCCTAGCACTTTGGGAGGCTGAGGTGGATGGATTCCTTGAGGCCAGGAGTTCAAGACCAGCCTGGCCAACATGATGAAACCCTGTCTCCACTAAAAATACAAAAATTAGCTGGACCTGGTGGTGCATGCCTGTAGTCCCAGCTACCTGAGAGGCTGAGACAGGAGGATCACTTGAACCCGGGAGGTGGAGGCTGCAGTGAGCTGAAAGCGCACCACTGCACTCCAGCCTGATGACAAAGACTCTGTCTCAAAAAAACAAAACAAACAAAAAAAACCCCACAACCAAAAAAAGAAAACCACCCAGTTTCTTAAAAGTTCAGATAACTTGTAAACTAGACATCATTCTGACCAATGAAATTTAAGCATTCTCTGACAAACTACGCAGTGAAAAGTGTCTTCCAGTTCTAAACGCTGATGCCTGGGAATCCTACGAAACATTTTCCCTGATCTTTTTTTTACTATTTTAATCTCACAGATCTGTTCTCCAGGCACTGGCCATCGGAAATACCGAGAGGCCACATGCCACGTGCAGGCTTGACGACCTAATCCCATGTCAGTGTGGCTCTGGGCACCTCTCCAAGCCTCCTCTTACTCACCTACAGAAAGGCTAATAGCACGTGCTCTAGTCACCTCCAAAGGGCCTTGTTAAAATCAACGTGCCAGTTATGTAAAGGTACTCTATAAACTGGGAAGCAATGAATACTTATCAAAGTAAAAACAGCAAAACCTCCATCAGCTGGATCCTCTCCCCCGTTGTGCTCAACTTTCAGAGAAACAGGCAAATTATGTAACAAAATATGCAAGCCTAAACATCTCTCTCAAAAATCCCATGTCCAGGCCGTCCCGGAGTTGGTGGAGGCCCAGCCTGTCCTCTGCCACTTCTGTATGAGCACTGAGGCACTAGGGGACTGGTGACCATGCCCCGGGTGACCCTAGTCCTAATGATCAGAAAAACAGCTCCATTATTTCCCCCCTACTCAAGGACATATTCTTCTTCTCATTTTCAAGGCACAGAGAGAAGCTGATGCAGTTTAGAAAGCCTTCCCCAAAACAAGGATGAAGGTGGATTACCAAGCACTCAGTTCCCCCCTAAAGACCTGAGCTCTCTGAAGTCTCACTGCATCTGCCTGGCCATCGTGGGATATGTAGTTAGTGTTGTCAGGCAAATGTGGACAAATGTGGGTCAAGGTGGGTCTCAGCTCTGCCTCCTGGATTCACCAAATCTCTTCTACTATTCTGGAATTATGGCTCTCCACATGCCTCTCCCTTGCTAAATGATACACTCTTTGAGGACAGGATTATGCCTTTTTTTAATTTTAATCCTCCCTTAGCACTCGGTCCAGAGTAAAAACGGAACTGACCTGGGATATTTGTATATTTTATCTTTTTGCCAAGGAAAATTTCTAACACACACAAAACTAAACAGAATAGGACGAGTCCTCACATGCCCATTACCCAGCTGCAACAATAACAAAGTCCGGGTCCGGCCTGTCTCATGCAGGTCTCCTCTTGGGCTAAGGGACATTCCTGCACTCTGGAAGGAGGTGCTGAGCAGGAGGCGCTCAGGTTACGAATCCTAATAGTGTGAAGCAGCCTCTGAAGTACAGCCTGCACTGAAATCGAATTGCCACTTAAACTGTGTTTCGACCCTGATGATTAAGGTGTTACACAGTAAGTACTGAAAACTGGGAAGGCCGGGCACAGTGGCTCACGCCTGTAATCCCAGCACTTTGGGAGGCCGAGGTGCCTGGATCACCTGAGGTCAGGAGTTCAAGACCAACCTGACCAACATGGTGAAAACCTGTCTCTACTAAAAATATAAAAATTAGCCAGGCCTGGTGGTGGGCGCCTGTAATCCCAGCTACTCGGGAGGCTGAGACATGAGAATAGCTTGAACCCGGGAGGCGAAGGTTGTAGTGAGCCAAGATCACGCCATTGCACCCCAGCCTGGGCAACAGAGCGAGAAAGAAAACTGGGGGTAAAAATGAGAAGGATTTCAAAGAAATCACCTGCAACCTCACCATCAAGAAATAGCCACGGTTAACATTTGGGTCTATTTCCTGCCAGTCTTTTCACTGTGGGCATTTATGTTCATCGTTATTACTATTATTTTAAAAACGGAATTGAGATAACTGTACCCATGGCAGAAGGTAGGTCCCCAAACCAAACATTTATGAAAGCCAGGGGCGGTGGCTAACGCCTGTAATCCCAACATTTTGGGAGACTGAGGTGGAAGGATTGCCTGAGGCCAGGAGTTGCAGACCAGCCTGGACAATGTGGCAAGACCCTGTCTCTACAGAAAATTAAAAAATTAGCCAGGCATGGTAGCATGTGCCTGTAGTCCCAGCTACCCAGGAGGCTGAGGTAGGAGGATCACTTGAGCCAAGGAGGCTGAGGCTGCAGTGAGCTATGATCAGGCCACTGCACTCCAGCCTGGGCAACAGTGCGAGATGCTCTCTCTCAAAAACAAACAAACAAAAAACAAAAAGAAAGCCTATGGAGTCAGGAGATGAGAGAAGCAGTCTCTGAAAGACTGGAACAAAGCTCCGTGGGTCAGGTGGCAGCTGCTCAGGTGGCACCCGCCAGGGGGGAACTGGGAGCTGGAATAGCCAGGTCTCACATTTGCCAACAGAAGCCAGAAATCCAGATGTTTAAAACATAAAATTAGGCTGGGTGTGGTGGCTCACGCCTGTGATACCAGCAATTTGGGAGGCTGAGGCAGGTGGATCAGTTGAGGTCAGGAGTTCAATACCAGCCTGGCCAACACAGTGAAACACCATCTCTACTAAAAATGCAAAAAAAAAAAAAAAAAAATTTAGCTGGGCATCGGTGGTAGGTGCCCGTAATCCCAGCTACTCCAGAGGCCTGAGGCAGAATTGCTTGAACCTGGGAGGCGGAGGTTGCAGTGAGCCGAGATCCACTACCACTGCACTCAGCCTGGACACAGAGTGAGACATTCCGTCTCAAAAATAAAAACATAATCAATTTTAAAAAGTAAATCGACTTTTACATGATGGCAATTATCCAGATTTTCTTTAACACTGCAAGCCAACCAGATTTGGGTTTTACATGGATCTGCCCGAAGGCTTCCTGTCTGAGACTTCCCAATCCAGGGTTTCTGTTGCTTTTTGTACACGTGCTTCACTTGCTGTTTCCTCTCACTGACAGCCT